GTACCCATTAGGGTCAAGGCCACCCTAAACTGGTGGACAGACATGCAATGTATGCCTGGCGTCTCCATTTCAGGCATCATTGCCATACATCACTATCCCAGCGGACGTGCCCCTGCTGGTATGAGGAGCCCACATGGGGAGTGATACCACAGGGACAGTGGACACAATAGGCATCCCAACTCCATACCAATGTTGTGGAGCTCAGGGCAGTCACACAAACTGCTTGAGCACATATGGAACAAACCAGTGGGAGTGTTGTTGGACAATGCTGCAACAGCATATTACGTAAACGGGGGCGTGAGATTGCGTAGCCTCTGCGCAGATGAAATGAAATGGTGGAGGTGGTGTTTCACATACATCACATCTACTGCAGTGTATTTACTGGGCAAGGACAAGGTATTACTGGAGGCCTGCAGCGGACAATTCCTGCAGAACCATGAATGGGAAATCAACAAGTCCATCGTAAACAAAACAAAAGAAATAGAATGGTGGACGTGTTCGTAAACAAAACAAAAGAAATAGAATGGTGAACGTGTTGCAACACGCAACACACACCAACTCTAAGTGCCCCTGTAATGTTTCAGAGCAGGCATTGGACTGCGCCCTCTCAGGGATGCGTTTGCAGTACGCTGGGACTTCCCATTGGCATACTTGTGTCCACCTATACCTCTTATTACCTCTTATACAAAAGACCATACTGAACATTAAACAGGATGCAGCAAGGGACATACTGGTAGCCCCCAGTTGACTGAGACACATCTGGTACCATCCCATACAAGCTTGCACCGGTACAAGCACTGCTGACCCAAGACAAAGGGCGCATACCACATCCTGGACTCCACACACTAATCTGCAAGTGTGGATGGTTGTTGGCTCTCAAATAATAACATTGTCCCGTGGTTTCGTAGGGTCACCCATATTCTGATCAGTTCTTGGAGACCCACGACAAGATGGACTTACGTGCAGAAGTGAGCCTGATTTGAAGCCTGGAATTCAGCGCAAGCATGAGAGAGACACAGGGTGGGGATATCAGACATGCTAGAGTATATTGTCCACCTGCAGGACACAGGACTGTCAATTGGTTCCTTCAATGTATACTTAGCAGCTATATCTGCAGTGCACCCACCCACACAGAGGTATTCCAGGTTTTTCCCCACCCGTGTGTGAAGAGATTCCAGAAAGGGATATGGACTCTATCAACCACAGAGATCCAGCACCATTATGGGATTTGGCTCTATCTTGTCAGTGAGAAGAGAATCCAAAAATCTGTTAAATTTCAAACCAAAATGTTCTTTGTCTGCTCTTTTTTAATATGTCTCAAAGGAGGTGGTCCACAAATTTTTTGATTGGCCTGGTGGACTGAAATCAGTTGAGAACCACAGGTGTAGTGCATGGACCGGTCCAGAGGATGTCCTGTTTTCCCAACAATGAATATCCAAATGGATGTCTAATGCATACAACTGTGTATATTTCTGGGTGTAACCAGCTGTTATATGGGCATGTTCCACGGGCGCAGTATCTACCACAACTGCTTTCCTCAAGGTCTTTGCTCAACATTATGCTATTCAATCCTTTCAGAAATCAGACACTAGCTTTGGACATACCATACTGTCCAACAACCAGTCCTGCATCACAGAGTGCCCACCGTCAAGCAGGAATACTAGTGCGTAGTCACCTTGTGCAGTAACTGGAGTTATTCAAGAGGTGTCCCCGTGGGTGCTCCATACTCCCCTTCCTCCCCTCTGCTCCAGGCTAATACACTCTGGCGTAAAGAAGGAACGGAGGGAATGGCCGCCGGCACATGCCTAACTGTCATTCAGAGTGATTGCACAATAGCGCAGCATGTGCTGATGGCCGGGGAATGCTACCAAAGATCGCTGTGCCATGTGCACAGCGGGGCTGATACACCCGCGGGGACATCTCAAAGAACTCCAGTTACTGCACAAGGTGAGTAACCTTCCCTTCTGCCAGTCTAACAATGAGGCTAACGGATACTGGATGAAGTGACACAATTTCATTTGTAGATAGCTAAACGGGGAAAAAAGTAGCCTGAAATGCCTAATTTATTAGGAAGGTATAATTGAACCTTCAACCAGGCATTTGGCCTTTCTCATAGTATTACTTAAGAAAAAAAATGATAGCACCAGATTATACAGGAAATAGAAAACTAAATGATGATATTTTAAAGGATTCTTACCCATCCACAAACATGATACTCTAGATACTGTAGCACAGTGGTTTCCAACCTTTTTACACTGAAGATCACTTTTTAAATCTCAGAACAGGCGAAGATCTACCGCCCTACCCCTTTCTTGAAGCCCCACCCTCTCTATTCTCCTCCTGTCCATCACTTGCTATCCCCAGCCTTTACTTACACGCTCTGATAAAGTGTTTATTTTTAAATTATGCGATATATAAAATTAAAATCACGTATTTATAGTTATGAAATTAATGGTCTGGTTTTTATTCGTGCCATTGAAATCTAAAATGAAGCATTTATAATTATACTTTTTGTGGGGACAGAGTTCTGCAGCTGGGGGCAGGGGAGAGGGAACAGGATGCTGGGAGGGCAGAGGACAGGGTTCTGCAGCGGGGGACGGTGCCAGTGGGGACAGAGTTTGGGGAGTGGGGTTGGGAATGGGGACAGAGTTCTGTAGCTGGGGACAGGGGAGTGGAGTCTGGGGAGCGGGGAAGAGTGACCTGCATCTGCCTCCTCTCAGGATTCTCCCACCACCCCCGAGAAGCCAGCACGTGCCTCCTCTGGGCCCCCTGCGGCACAGGGAAACCCCAAGCGTGTCTGCCCCGGGGCCAAACCCCCGCGGGAGCCTGCCTCGGGGCCAAACCCCCCCCCCATTCCGCGGCGGGGCCAAACCCCCACGGGACCCTGCCTCGGGGGCAACCCCCACACCTCCCACAGCGGGGCCAAACCTCCCTTCGGCCCAGCTCCTCCCCTCCCGCAGCATGGCCAACCCCCATGGGCACCTGCCTCGGGGCCAAACCCCCCTCCCACGGCCTGGCCCAGTCCGGTCAACTCCCTTCCCTCCCGCAGCGTGGCCAAACCCCGGGGCCGACTCCCGCTCCCACGGTGCAGAAGATAAGGGGTGGGGGAAAGGAAGATTATGTGTATGGGTATTAACTGGTTGGACCAGTGATGTATACAAATGCTTTGTAAATATCTGTTAAATTTTGTAAATTTAGCCATTTCAGAAAGAAAAATAATAATTCAGAGTGTCACCATTTTAGACGCCATAGAGATACAGGATGGAACTCACTGGGAGGGTGAGATGCAGAAATTGGGAAGGGAGGATTGTTCATCATTGATGCTGTTTGGCATAATAGCTATAGTTCAGGAGACCGGTAAGAAGACAATCAAGCTCCTTTGTGGAATAGATAGCTGAAACAATAGAAACCACTAGCCAAAGCACAGGCCATGCAAGACCAGTCAGAAACTGAGTTATCTCTGCAGAGGAGTTTTGCAGAGGATTGATTTGATTGCAGCTGTGTGACAGAAGCCACGAAAAACACCATAGAGCACAGAAAAGAAACAAAGAAGCCTTAGGCCATTTCTGCGCTACCACCTGAGTGACATAAGTTTAGTTAAGATAAGTGGCAATATTCACAGGGTTATGTTGGCCTGTGAGCTGCTCTCACTGACACAGCTTCTGCCACTCATTGAGGTAGCTTTATTTTGATGGAAGAGATCTCTCCTGTTTAATACAGAATAGGGTTATATAAACTGCCCAGAACAAGTTAACTGGTTCAGTTATTTAACTAGTTAACCACCAGGTGTTGGCGGCAGGGACTGCCCTGCTGTGACGCAGCAAGGGTTGCCCTGGCCCCACTGCAGCCCTGCTGGCTGGGCCACCATGGGGCAAGGCTTCAGTTAGCCAGTAAGCATGCTTATCAGTTAACTGGTTAACTTTTTACATCCCTAGCACAGAGTGGCTACATAAGCAGTCTTACAACGGTGAAGCTGCATCAGTACAGCTGTGCAGCTCTGAGTTTGAGTGTAGGTGTGACCTTAGTTTCAGACAGAAATTCTGGTAGCATGATACTATCACAAACAAAAATAAAATGGGGAGTTTTTTGGGTAAGGTGCTGGTTGGAAATTGCCCTGGAACTGCGAGCAAAGCAACTTATCTCTTGCTATTTGCTTATTCCTGCTTTATTCAGGGATATAGGAACACAATCCTGTCTTTGTAATTAAACAACAAGGTTGCTTAAAAAAAAACTTAATCCATTTCTTCTCTAACTAGAACACTAGTAGCTCTGGAAAATGTAACAAGGGATAATAGTAATAGTTCCACATCTCCAAGGCAAGGAAGTATTAAGTGACTTGTCAAGGGCACACAGAAAACTTGTGCTGGGGTCAGCTAGCACTTTAAACCATTGTATAATCTTTCCTCATAAATGAGTTTCTCAATGTCTCCAACTTCTTTCCCTTCTCAGGACTTCATTTCTACAATTTGTTTTGTCAGAGTGACTAGAAATGAAGCACGGTAGACGAGGATATAGTAGTTTTTATAAAAACAGTTTTTAAATAATGGAATTGGGTATAGTTTTAATTTCTCTCTTCATACATCCCTGCACTTCCCCCTCTGCTTTGCAAAATGATACACAAGTCTCTTCCTGGGTGGCTACTTTTAATGTAGAATCCAGTAATGCATGAGTAATCCAAAACTTTAAACTCAAAGGAGACTAACTTCACATTTTAGTTGCTCCAAATTCATCTTTAGAATTTTATTCAAGTCACTTGGTACTTGTAATACTAGTATTTTTAATATTGCCCAACGAATGTTTAGGAAGGTTTGTCTTGAAAGGCCCTGTATTCTAAAATAATTGAGCTCCTGATTTAGATTTGCCCTGAAGTGAGATAAGGAGGATTGTTTTTTAGCTCTTATATAGTGATTGCCTTCAGTAGTTAACTGTTGCTCTATGATCAACAATTCTTTTCTACTAATGGTTGAACAAGCTTAATCTTAATATTTTCTTTTTTTTAGGTCTACCTTTACTTGTTCAGAGAACAATTGCAAGGACTATTGTACTTCAAGAAAGCATTGGGAAAGGTCGCTTTGGAGAAGTCTGGCGAGGGAAATGGAGAGGAGAAGAAGTTGCAGTAAAGATCTTCTCTTCAAGAGAAGAACGTTCATGGTTCCGTGAGGCAGAAATTTATCAAACTGTTATGCTACGCCATGAAAATATTCTTGGATTTATAGCAGCAGACAATAAAGGTTAGTAAGCTTTTGATAACTTTCACTTTTGTTGATTTTGTAGATGTTCCTATTTTCAGTCAT